TGTGCGAGCTTGCATTGTCTTGGTGGAGTGTAATTCTTCTTACGGGGTTGGTTTTTCGAACCTTGGTGATGACTTTTGGCAAACAAATGGTTGTATACCAATCCGCAGTAACAGTTCTTTGCTCATTAAGATGAATTGTTGCAATATGACAATCTTTTTCGAAACACTTTGAGAACGGATGACTCTTGTTGGCTTTTCTTCACCTTGGAACACCCAAACAGCCGACTGTCATTTATTTTCTGGTTCATAACAGTAAATCCACGATTCATCACCACTAACAATGCTATACACATTTTTTGAGTTTTGGGAATTGAAACGGTAAAGCGTTTTTTGACACCAATTAACCCTGGCTGCTTTCTGCTCTTCAGTCAACAGCTGGGGTATCCGACGAGAAACTAATTTTCTTACTCCTAATTCTTCATGTAATTTTTTTTGAATTGAGGTCTTTGAGATCTTCAAGGACACCTCAATCTCGCGATATGTCACATGTCTATCTTCAATGATGAGTTTGCGCACAGCATCGACGTGTTCCTGCGTGACTGCCGTTTTTGGTACACCCACCCTGGGATCGTCGCTAAGACTCACCCGTCCAGGTTTGAATTCTCCATACCAACGGGAAATTGTCGACTGATGTGGTGCTTCGTTGCCGAAAACAGACAGTAACTCAGCAAGGCATTCTTGTTGCGATAATTGTCTCTGAAAGTTGTAATACATTATGGCGCGAAAATTTTCTCGGTTGAGATCCATTTTTCTAATGACTTGGTGACACTTAAAAATTCACTGTAGTGAGAAACTTTGAATTTAAGTTTACTGAAGAGTGAGGTTAAGATTCAGTACTAACGTTCGATCCCCTCGGCCTACTATTTTTCTATATGCAAAACTTAAAAGTCATCCCTGGTAAATCGACCTCAACCTACAACACATGTGGTTCGAGCCGGACGGGGTCACAGAAAGCTAGAGAAATGAAAACCGTGAATGTTTGCCCCCAAGATCATTAGATCTAACGGCCCTAGACTAGACGTCTTTCTGACGGGATATCAAAGAGATAAGCTGCTGAAGGACAATGTCCACGAACTTATTCAAAATATCCCCCCGAAGCATACAAAAAGTGATGGCAAACGTAATCTGTAGTGCTCATGTGATCAGGTGGGCATTTAAGTGATATCATTTTTCAATAAAAAATTAAGACAAAGCATGTATCTATTTTTTTTCACCTCAAATATATTGAAGTGATAAATCAGTTACTTATAAATTGACCACCCTGTATATGAGACTGCGTTCAAGTGGAATGCGTTGTTGGAAGCGATTTCCCTCTTTTGGGGGAAGACGACTTCCGGACGACTGGCTACCCCCTCTCCTGTGGGGATTTCCAAGGTTTATTGATCGGTCAATATCTTAATAAAAAAACTGCAAATGTGTCTAGACGGAGGGGACCTGTTAGACAAAGGAACTGCAGACAGGTCGATGCTCTAGGCATAAGAATGATTAACTAAAAAAGTTTTTTCATCGGTCCACATAAGCAAAGGCAGTATTCATATTTTTTTCGTGTAGTTTATAAATCATAACATACAGCGCCGGAAGAATATCATGAAAAGTAAGTGGCCCTTAAGGGAGTGTTCTCCAGTCTTGCATGCGACACTGAAATGTTGTTTTTGTGATTTTGGTAATATTTTGTCACTGTGCTTTACTCATTAATTTAATTGATTTTAAGACAGGTGTTGAAAAAAGGTGGTCAATAACGAACAAAAAGTAAGTAAGTATTTTCAAGCTACTCATATTTTTACTTTCTCGCCTGCCTTTTGTCGAACGGTGAAAAAATCTCGAACGCGTCACTCATTGTCGCAACGTCTTAACTTCGCGAGAGTAGCATTTATTTACTAGCAATCGGTAAGTTGTACATTTTCACTAGATTTACCGGGATTCACGTCCTTCTTTTGAGCCCTTTTTGAGAACTTATTTGCTGCTAGGCAATGGCTTCGACAACCGCCACAAGGTTATAAAATACGATAAATTTGTTTATTTTTCTGTCCACTTAAATTGTTCACTTACGCTATAGCTGGGTCCTGTGTCTCAAACAGTAGTACAATTACGACAATTCGTTCGTAGATATCTGGCTGACAAGCGCCTGTCGTATGGTAATTCTTGGCCTCTTCATAACGCAAACACTGCTATAATTTTGATTGAATCTAGACACAAGTTTACATTTATGTGAATAACGGAAAATCCTTCAAAAACTTCTGAAAATGAGGTGAACATCTTAAATCTTCGTTTTCGATCCTTTATTCCAAACGTTTTACTTAGCTGTCTCATAAGGAGGGTTATGTTTTTCGAGAGTACATATGTGGGCAAGGATAATTCTTTCAGAGGTTACATTGAAGATAATTGATTCCAAACGGCTTGATAGATTTTGACATATGAGCAGTGTATTATATATAACACTGGGTATATTGAAATTTTATAAAATCAAAATGGCAGGATGTAATCGAAATTTCCAACTATGAAATTTTTATTCACGGGCCACAGATTAAACGGCCTGATGGATTTTGACAGAGGAGGTGCCCTTAAATTCATCTTGGAAGCACAAATAAAACTTCATTGCTCTCAATCGTCTTATTCTTATTTTTTAAACGTACTTGTACATGGGCATAGGGGGAAGCCATTGTCCCCTGAGAATCTAGCTGACTGATAAATTTTCCATATTTTGCATAGTTTTGTGTACTACATTTAAGGTTTGTCGCCTGAGAAGCATAATATACAAAAAGTTTCCTCTTGCTCGATGTCTTTTGGGCACCCTTGAAAAAAATTCTTAGATCCAATAAAAACCTATCAACCCGCCTCTGTTTCCAACCGAACCGAAGCCACCTACGCCATCAGTAACTTCGTGTTCAAAACATCCTTTGTTTCATGTTTTATAACGTATCCGACTATCCGAGCCACCTTTTGGTCCTGCCGACCAACCACCTATCAAATATCGCGCCGCGTCACAGGAAACGGATCTTACGGCTATGGTTACGAAGGAAGCGACCCAACTTCAACTTCCTCCCTCACCCTAATGAATGTTCTGTCTGTTGTGTGTACATACTGTGCGAAGTAATCAATACTTTTTGTCGTTGGATACTATAATTTGCCCGCTTGCATTCTCTTCGCTGGTAATGGACAGTTGGATGTTTTGTCTTAATGGCATTCCAAATAAATGAAAATGTTAATGACATGCGTCAAGGTAGGTTTCCAGTATAACAAGTTGCATGCAAATGTTAGCGGTGCATGTTGCGCAATGTGACGCTGCATCTTGTTTAAATAGAAGCGCAGCAACTGTGTGGTGCTGTAAATCTATCTCAGATCGATTCCTCACTGCGACCATTTGACGCCATCGACTCAGAATATAGGAGATGATAATCCCCCCGCCATTAAAAACTACTACAGCTGTTTCATACTTATTGGCAATCATCAGCATAGTCTAGGCAGGCCTTTAGGAGATGAGAGGAGACTTATGCTGTCGTATTCAGATGATAGACCTTATACCTCCAATAGGGGAGGATGCTTTCTTTCGTTGTCATTTCTAGAGATCTGCCATAAGCATGGAAAAGCTGTACCTGGTTGGCACTCTGTCTGAGAAGCATATAAATAAGCTCACCCAAAGGAATTGATATATACCCTCCGCCACACCCTGCAACCCACACACCCCAGTGTTTTACTCCTCAAAGAATTTTCAAAAAATGAGCGGGAGTCTCTAAAATGTCAAAAAATGGCAATGATCTACATGTCATGCAACATCCAAAAGCTATAGACGTAGGTAGTAAAAAGAAAAGGCTTGATTTTGTTATTTGATAATATTTTTTCTTAAAATTAGATTCATTATTTTAATCGCATTAGGGCCTATCTTGATTGGAACTCGACTGAGGACCGTACCGTCAGTCGTTCCTACAATTGTGGGACGCTTTTATGTTCTCCTTGATTCCCAGAACCTTTATTCTCCTTCAGAAAGTCTGGGATATTTCTAGATCTCTACTGTTCCGTGACAGCGTCAGCGCTCTCCTATTATCGAGCTATGTTTTCTTTTTGAATTGTAGGAAACAGATGAAATAAATCAAAAGCATAAGCAATTTGATGCAAATAGATGTTTTTGACATAACTTCAAAATAGAGCACTGACTCGGAAGAGTAGAAAAGTATGAAAATAAATAAAGGCGTCATTGTAGGAATGACTGACGATACGACCCTAAGTGACCTCCCCTCGGAAGGCTTGAGTTTAGAGCCCTATCCGCTACTACATGGATTTCTTTAACCACAAATAGTTTTCTTAACATATATAATAATAATAATAATAATAATAGACGTCTTTATTTGTCCACAATTACATTGTAGTATAGCCAAATGTCAGACTTATATGGCGAAGTTTAGCATGCTGCTACTCTTACACTTAACCATATAGTCTCTAGCAGATGTTCAAAAGAATACACTATCCACAAACAGATTTGGTTCATTACATCGAAATTAAAAATTAAAAAAACTTTCCAACCCAAATGCACCAAAAAATTATTAATCTGAATTAAAGATGGAATAAAAAAGAAATGAATGATTACGTAAATTATATGTTTGGAGGGTTGAGTAATAATGTTTTAACTTTTTGTCGAAAGACAGATAATGAAAATTCTTTATATACTTTAGGAAGGTCATTATAAATAATAGCAACATTGTAAGAAAAACTGCGTTTAAAAAGTGTAGACGTATGCAGGGGTATTCTAATATTATTTTCTCTGGGAGTTCTACAGTGAACATCATTATTAAATGAAATTTTTTCCCTCAAGTAATAAGGTTTGGACGTGAGCAGCAATTTTTGAACAAAAACTGAAAGGTGATACTTGACCATGTCATTAATTTTTAACCAGTTTAGAACGGGATATTTCGCTGATACATGATCAAATTTACGTAAGCCAAAAATGAATCGTATACAATTGTTTTGAATAACTTGAATAACGTTTTTAGTGAAATTGTCTAAACAAGTATAGTATACGATATTACAATAATTTATGTTTTTGTTGTTGCAGGGATGAGGGGTAACTGAAGATGGCCTCACCGACGCCCTCACTGGAATCCTTACCTCGAGCTAACTCAATCGGATCGTTCGGCGACCAGCACGATTACCTCTCCTTGTCGCCTCTGGCGGACTCGCCCTTGTCCGTCAGCGGATCTTCGCCTCCTGTGAGCGACTCTGTGGACCGCGATAGCGACCCATCGGACCTCCATTGCCAACAGTGCAGGGAAACGGTATCAGCAGATTCCAAATTACTCGCCTGCTTCCACACGTTCTGCAACCCCTGCTTAGAGAAGAACAAGTTCGTTTGTCCGCGCTGCAATTCGGAGTCGATCGAAGGTAAGTACGAAATTTCACCGGTCTTTATCATTTAATACACACGACGAAACAGGCGAAGTTAATTGCACTAGGTCATAACCTTCAATCGACCCGATGGCACAAGCTACTCAACGTCAGAATGTTTGCCTATTAAACTCTTGAAGTTAATTTCATCAGATTTTCAACAGATTAAGGAATTTACTCGCCGAGATAGGCTACTCTAGTTCGAAGTGCTTTCTTAATAAACCTGTAAAGTTAACTTTACTGAGCCATATCCTTTAATCCATCCGATGGTACCGACAATTCCCTGTCGAAATGTTTGCCTAGTAAAATCATGAAGTTAATTTGATCAGACTATCAACTGACTAACGCATTCACTTGACGACATAGACTACAGCAGTTTGAAATGTTTGCAAAATAAACTGCGAAGTTAATTTCACCAGGCTAAATTCTTCAACCCGCCGGATATCGAGATGTTTGTCTAATATACTTTTAAAATCTGATGTGATAAAGTCTAATAACCTTTGCACATCGAACACGAATAGTGGACGACGTCTCTTCGTAAGTTAATTTCACGAGCTTATATTTTTTAATCCATTCGACGACATTGGAATATGGTCAACACTTTCGATTGAGTGACTGCCAGTGGCCTTGAGGTAAAAGACCATTGGCCTTGAAGCTAAAAGTTGTTGGCCCCGAAGCCAAATGTTATTTACCTTGCAGTCGTAAATGTTTGGCCCTAAAGTCAAAGATTATTGACTGAAATGTTAGAAAATAGCGGGGCTTTTGTATTAGAATATTTGTATTGTCTGGAAACTTCTCGAACACGAGCTGTTACTGTAGAAAGAAAGTTCGCTCATAGGATCAGCCACACTGCGGCAGTATCAAATACAAACTCCCAATCAGAAAGCTACTCCAATTTTCCAACTTTCTGTAGAATCTATATCATCCCATATTCAGGGTCGGTCACAAAGAACGCATGTTTTTCGAATGGGTACTACATCGAGTGGGCTAGTCCCGTGTCAGTGAGGAAGGGCGTGTTGAATAGTGGGAGAAGTGCCGTTTCAGTTGGCAAGCTGGTTTGGAACGTTGAGCATCGTGTGTTCGCTGTACGTCGGTACTTTCAAAATTGCGAGTCTGTCATTCACTTTCGTGTTCTACGTCATGGGACAGTACCAGACCGTAACACCATTTTGAAATGGGTGGAAGCATTCAACACAACAGGTAACGTGATGAAGAAAAAACCGCCAGGGCAAAACCGTACTGTTAGAACCCCCGAAAACGTAGACAGGGTGAGAGTTGACACGCTGCAAAGCCCGAATCGTTCCGCCCGTTTGCGTGCCAGTTCCCTACTGATACATACGTCCTCTGTACATCGGATCTTGAAGAAGGATTCAGTGATCCATCCTTACAAAATCCATATTTGTCAACAACTGTTGCCAGGGGATTATGCACAACATGTTAATTTTGCACAGCTCATGATTGAACAGTTGGAGAACAATGACATGACGTTGTTTATGAGTGATGAAGCACATTTTCATTTACATGGATACGTCAATAAACAAAATTGTCGATATTGGTCTCCAGTGAACCCCCAACAGTTGCATGAGCACCCCCTGCATAGCCCGAAGTACGTAACCCAAATTCCTGCACGGATGCTGGCCGACGCAATAGGCTCATTTCGGGAGAGGCTTGAATCCTGCATTCCGGCTCAAGGACGCCTATAGCCGACGTAGTTTTTAGAACGTAAATTTTGTTTTACTCAAAAAATGACGTGTATTTCTGAGTATTGTGATATAATATTTTTCCCATACTTATTTTGACTGTACTGCTCATCTAAAAAACATGCGTTCTTTCTGACGGACCCTGTATCTCTTTGTTATTGACGCTGCAGACCAAGGTAACCTATTCCGAGACTGAAGTTTTAAAATCCCGAAATTGTAACTTGTAACCTCAAGCTCCAAAGTCATTGATCCTGTATACAAGAATGAATTACCCAAAATTTAAATGTCATCGACCTTGTGGTCGAAAGCACGGTTGATATTGAAAATGAAGATCATTAGCTCTGACAGATGAAGGACAATGTATCTGAAGTTAAATTGTGAAAGGATCTGAAATAAAAAATCATTGACTCAAGAGTAAAATGTTGTTGAATTCGAAGACGAAGGTAAAATATTGTTAACAATGACACAGTTCAAAGGTGGTTGGTCATGAAACTGAATGTCATTGATTTTGAAGTCAAACATCAAAGTTCCTGAAGCCAACGCTAATTGACTGAAGAGTAAAATGTTATTCACCTTCAAGATAAATGCTATTGATCCTGAGATTAAGGACCGTATCGTTAGTCGATCCTACAATTAAAGGGCGCCTTTATGGCCTACCTGATTTTCATATTCATTTCCAACCTTCAAAAAGGCTGGCATATTTCTAGAATTCTACTGATCCGAGTCACCGTGAACGCCCTTTTTTTGTGAAGCTATGTTTTCTTTTTGAATTGTAGAAAATTTTAGGCTGATATAACAGGTGTTATAAATCAAGCATGAACAATTTGATGCAAATAGATATTTGTAACATAACCTCAAAGTAGAGCGCTGTCACGGAAGATAGTAGAAAACTGTGTAAATCAAGGAGGTCATAAAGGCGTCCTACAATTGTACGAACGACTGACGGTATGGCCTTCTAAGTTTATGACCCTGAGTACAAATATCGTTAACCTTGTCACAATGGCAGTGACTTGTAATCTGGTTGACCTTGGAATTAAAGGTTATACTCATGAGTAAAATATATTTGACCTTGAAGTCAGGGATCATTTACCGCTAAGTTGAAGGTCAATAACTGAAAACGATTCGAAATGAAAGTATGTAACATTACTGTCCTCTGAGGTCTGTTTTTCTGCTTTTGTTCATAGTGGGCAGTTTTTCGATTGATTGCTGTATGTAACGTCGATCCTAAATTCAAATACAGTTAGCCTTCATATCAATGGCACTGACTCGAAATGTAGTTCACCTTGAAACAAGGTCATTACTCATTAGTTAAATGTCTGACCTTTAAGTCATGGGTCACCGACCTCGAGGTTAATGGTCAATAAGTGACATGAATGCATGTAACATTATAATCTAAAATATAATTATGTAAGCCTGTTTTGCTGCATTTCGTCATAGTGGGCAGTTTTAGGATTGAAAGCTGATGAACGTGTATTGTTACAGGTATCCTGAACAGCTTGCTGTTCAACTGCGACACGACCAACAGCGATTTCCATTCTCCAGCCGCAGTCCGTTGCACCGGTTGTAAGCACAAGAAACTCGACGCGGTTGCCCGCTGCGTTGATTGCGCGAACTACCTCTGTTCCAACTGCGTCATGGCGCACCAGTTCATGCACTGCTTCGAAGGCCATCGGGTAGTCAACCTGAACGACATCAAAGAGGAGCCCAAAAACGGCCTCATCTCCAGCCCAGAGAAGAACATGATCTGCCCTAGACACAAATCCGAATTACTCAAGTACTACTGCCGTACCTGCGCGGTGCCCATTTGCAAGGAGTGCCTCAGCCTGGACCACCCTGTAGGCCTCCACGAGTACGAGCATATCAATGACGCTGCCCCCAAACAGATTGAGGCCATTCAGCAGGCCGTGACTGAAGCCAAGAGCAAGGCGACTGACGTTAGGAACATACTAAAAAATGTCGAACATGTATCCAGTCGGTTGCAAGTCCAGTACCACAAAGCCCAGAACGAAATCAACGACACATTCCTCTTCTACAGGTCTATGTTGGAAGAACGGAAGCAGGAATTGCTGAAGGAATTGGAAAGCGTGTTCAGTTCCAAGCAGATTTCCCTGGGGGTGGCCACGCAGAAAGGCCAAGAAACTGTCGAACAAATCTACAAAACATGCGAATTTGTTGAAAGACTTAATAAATGTGCAAACGTTGTTGAAATTTTAATGTTTAGGAAACTGTTAGATGCTAAATTACAAAGTTTGTTAAGCTACAATATCGACCAAAGCGTGCAATCCGCTGGGGAGTTAGAGTTCGTTTCCAACTATCAGGCCATACAAGTCGGCGTCAGGAACACGTTTGGGTATGTATGAGTTTACTTTTCATTAATATACATATTCCAATCAATTGGTTCATTTACGCCCATAGTGCGGAATTCCGAAGGATTGGGGTTAAAACTTGACGACCCGCAGGAATATTACGTAACTTGAAAAGTGACATTATGTTGTTTTTTAACATTATGAAGGTTTTTTAGGACACTATGTAGGTTTTCCTACAAGATATGAACTAGGAACTGGCTGTCGTTCACTTTATACTCAGTTGTATCAGGCGCGGAATGAACTATTTGCGCACTACCAGCTATTCAAACATTTTATCGGTTTTTACCCCTGCCATTCAACTGCTTTGAAGCGGGGTGTTTGAACTGTTAAAGCCGTGGGAGAAAAAATAATTTATATGCAGAGGTGCCTTGAGGAGTAAAAAACACAGCACTCCTTGTATGTACAAAAATCTGTTAAGTTATATTTTACTTAGGGCGGTATTTGCCCCACCTCCAATAGGCGCCCATAAATTGATAATTGTTATACTAAATGATAAAAATGGGCATTTAAGCGATTTAAATAAAGTTTAATGGGCCAATAAAAATGATACTGACGATTGTAGAAAAATCGTCAGTACGTGGTATAAAAAAATATTTTAGGTAACTATGCCCGTTAAGCTATTAGTTTACTTCAATGACAAAGGAATAGGAATGAAGAATTCTGTGATAATAATATGTGCACTAAGCCACTTTTGCAGGTGCATAATTTCCAAGTATTTCGAAATCGGGATGTTATATTTTTTTAGAGAGTACGTGACATGTACGGCAAATCGGAATTACGCGAGACAGCAGTTCAGCAGAATGGCATTGCACTGATCGTGATTGTCGCTCGAAGTTTTGATTTACCATTGCATTACGAAGAGACAACGTATTAATTCTCATTGGCCACCGCTTTTCAAGTTCGTGCCTTAGAAAAAAAAGGATATGAAATTATTACATCAAACGAAGTCTTTCAAATATTAAATTATTTTATATATACAGGGTGCGCCATCTTTTATGTCGGTATGTAAACATGAAATAACTTTGAAAACTAAAAACTGATTTCTATATATCGGGTTTTTTTATTAAATATGGTCGTTTACAATTTATTGGGACTAGTTTTTGAACACAACATCTATCAAGTGGCTACCTTTATTGGCCAAAACTAAATGTGCCCGTTTTGCTGCGTTTTCCATTACTTTTTCGAGCATCTCTGGTGGTATAGCGGCGATTGCGGTACGAATGTTTGCCGTGAGTTCTTCAGTGGTCTTGACTTTTCAAATAACCCCACAAGAAGAAGTCCGGTGGGTTCAAATCTGGAGACCTGGGTGGCCAGTCAAACCTCTTTTTGACATCAGGGAATTTTCTTTACAGAAACTGGATTGTTCCATTTGCAGTGTGGCATGAAACCAGTAACCATCAAGACATTTTTCACGCACTTGTGGGCAGACATAATGAGCCAGCATCCACCGATATCGATTTCCATCGACTGTTTCGTTTTCGTTGAAGAAAAATAGCCCAATGCCCAATTTTGCTTATTAACGCCGCCAGAGAGCGTGAAATGGGGCTCGTCGGCCATCACAATTTGCTTGTTTGGGCGTATTCCAAGCGACGTGGACGGTCAGTTGGCAATATTTTTGTGTTAACTGCACCTTATAAGGAAACAAATGCAAATCATCCTTCAAAATGCGCCGCAACGTGGTTCCACTGATGCCAAAATGCTGAGCGCGATGACGATACTACACTTTTGGGTTCTGGGCAACGCTGTCTCTGGCCGCTTCAACCAATTCATTGGAACGTCTTAGTCGTTGATGAACGGTATGTTGACGATCTCCCCCTGTCCCGTACTCAAGAAAATTCGAAATCAATCGACGGATAGTGTTGTCAGACGGTGCCTATTTGCCACGATATTGCGTTAACACAACTGAACGACGATTTTCAATGTGCATTGTGACTATTTCGGCGCGTTGTTTCGGTGTAAAGCGTTTCATGACTAAAATTGTAGTAAATTAACGTTTCAGAAACACGTATAACTAAATCACTCGGTTGGAAAATATCAAATTCATTCGATGTTTCAATACCGACATAAAAGATGGCGCACCCGGTAGTATTCGTTTTTATTGTGGATGGCGTTAGAACAAGACCATGAAAATCTAGAGATAGGAGGTTAAACTCGTGGAGTGGGGGTGAACCCAAAAATTTCGACGATGATTTGAGTCGGTACACTGCGCAGAAAACAACTCCAGTTTTGACAGTTCGGACGACTTGCAAGCATTGGATAATATTGATAAACCACGAAGTAATGAACCAACAAAGCATGGCAACGTTAGTGAAATGCCATAAAGATTGCGACAGGATAGTATTAATACAATAATAATGTTTATTGAAGAAAAAATACAATTTAGCATATTTTTAGCTACATGACGTTGAATATTTATAAAATATAATGATAAAAGCTATTAGAATATACAAGAAGTTAACATTTTTTTTAATATTAAAAACCTACACTTAACAAACATGAATATAAAAAATTATTACCTAACCAACGGTTTACTAATTTGTTAAAACATCCATATTTTTTTTAAAAGATACAATAGATAAGTCAAACATTTATATTATATACAGGGTTATCCAAATTAAGTGTCCACCATTAGTAACTTTGTTATTAGTGAAAATACAAAGTTGTTTGAATTAGCAAACTAGTAGCATTTTTAACGCTCGTAAAAATGAGAAATAAAAAAAAACAATTGAGAGTCGTTATTTTGATTTTTTTCAGTAAAATAACATTTTTTTAAATGGAAACCCCTGTATATTATATTTTTTTCTGTTAAAGCATCAAATTTTAAACAAAAAAGCTTACAATAACTTTTCTCCTAGGTTACAAATTGTTGAAGTTATGGCCTCCAATCTGAAACAATTAAATTGTATCGACAAACTTTATTTTCAACATCAACTTATAATCTTACAAAATACAATAACAATTTTTTTTAAAGAAGATGCTCGAAAACACCACCTTGTTCTTCAATACATTTTTGGGCACGTTTTTCAACTGCTCGAACTGTCTTAAGTATGGTCCTACCATCTATCTGGGTTATCTTTTCCCTAACTGCAGTCTTTAACGCGTCAAGGTTATCGTACCTTCGCTTGTAAATTTGGTTCTTTAAGTAACCCCACAAGAAGTAATCAAGTGGGTTTAGATCTGGTGATCTGGGAGGCCACTGTATTGGGCCATTTGTTCCTATCCACTGATCATTAAAAGTAGTACTTAGAAAATGATAAGTACCTCTGGAGTTGTGGGCAGGTGCGCCATCTTGCTGAAAATGCAGATGATGTCTACTTATAAGATCCAATTCGTCTACGAAATTAGTCAGAATTTCTGACATAAATTCCACATATCTTTCACCAGTTAGGGTTCCCTCATGAAAGAACGGGCCAACAATTTTTGAACCAATTATACCGCACCAAACGTTGAAACTGAAACGGACTTGTGGGCCTCTTGGATGTACTAACAAAAGATTTTCTCTTGACCAATAATGGTGGTTTTTTCTATTAAACATTCCAGAATTTGAAAAATTTGATTCATCTGTTCATAAAAGGTAACGAAAGTTATTTACATTTTGGCGACAGAAGCTAAGATACCAATGGCAAAAAAAAAGTCTTCTCTCTGGATCCCCTGCCAAAAGCGTTTGAACTGGTCGGTACTTATACGGAATAAATTTGTATTTTTTTAAAATCCTTTGAATAGTACCATAACTGAAATTAGAGTCCTTGAGAATATCTGCTATTGAATTCTCACGATAAGCTTCAAAATATCCAATAACTGCAATTTCCGTGGCCTCGCTTATTATGAATTCTTTTTTTGCCCTTGTTTTAGCAAAAACATTTTCGTTGCCCCTAAATTTTCGATAAAGTCTCAGAAAATATCGTTCATACGGTTGAATGCGAGCGGGATATAATTCACTGTAGTATTCTCTTGCTCTCAAGGAGGATTTTCTGCACACTAAATAGCATTCTAACATATCACACTTTTCTTCATGGGAGAACATTTTTCTTTAAATTAATGACACAATAATGCTTATAAACAAGTATTTACACTAATGTTTGACATTATTTGATTTTATCATTGTTTTCCAAAGCCTTCTAGTTGCGAGTATGTCCAGTTTAACAATTTGTCGCTTATCTTAATGCTGTCAAATCGCGAACGCCATGTTGTTTTCATAGCCGTCTTAATATTATAATACTGCAAATAATTAAAAATATTTATCGTTATTTTGACTTTATTTTTGACTTTAGCGGAAAAGTCATTATGAACTTTTTTGTTTAAAATTTGATGCTTTAACAGAAAAAAATATAATATACAGGGGTTTCCATTTAAAAAAATGTTATTTTACTGAAAAAAATCAAAATAACGACTCTCAATTGTTTTTTTTTATTTCTCATTTTTACCAGCGTTAAAAATGCTACTAGTTTGCTAATTCAAACAACTTTGTATTTTCACTAATAACAAAGTTACTAATGGTGGACACTTAATTTGGATAACCCTGTATAATAAAATCGGTAACAATTTTTTTTTAGATACCAAAATGGCACACTAAATACAAATGTAATATTTTACTTATTTTCTATAATCCTACGAACTTGTTCTTGTCTCTTTTCAAGTAAGAATTTTTTTATTTCTTTTTTAAATTTTGGTTACGAAGATATTTTTTATTTAATCAGGCAGCAAGTTATATAACCTAGTTAGTAGACAAAGGAGTCCTGCTTATTTTATTAATTTGGTTTCTAGTCGAATATGTATAAGGAATATATCAATATACTGAACGCAAACAATTGCCGAAGATCTAGAGTTTCTGCATCTCTATACAGCTGTTGTGACGGATAAAGTCTGTATTTATTATAAATTATTTAAAAAAATTGTTTTTCTAATGCCTCAAGTTTTTCTAAGTGAAGGGTTAGAGACTTTTGATCCAGATAATTACGTAGATGTTTTATTTTGAATGACATACGTCTCAAGTTCAAGGTAATATGGTCAGTATAATAGATCCATTTCATGTGTGAAACCAAAAAGATATCTAGACATTTTTTCAATTAACCTCCTAACTCTAGGCTTCGTGGTACTTAATGACAAAATTACTGATGAAGAGAGCTTAACATTCACGATATAAATTTCAGCAGGGTGATGAGGGCTCACCCTTCATGGTTTGTAATAAAACCATACTGTAATAATGAGGTTTCCTTCAGTGGTTACAACCAAAAAGCAGATAGCAGAGCGAATGCTGCTATTATTATAATTATCTTAATTAGATGTTAAACTGGAAGTCGGAATTAGCACTCACAATGACACGTCAGTTGACTTTTAAACGACAAACAGAAATCTGCTGTTTGAAAAGCGGGAGTTTTCTCGCTGAATAGAACTATCGATAGCCATGAAGAAGCTCCTGCTTTCAGTACATTTGCTTTCTAAGCAGTCTTAGCAGCTGGGACCGCCTGAATGTGTCCATTCCACGAACAGCTTGGAACAGAGCGTCCCAAACCTTTTTAAGGCGTAGAAAATAAGATCCATGCAAAAATATAAATCACGCATTTCTCATGTTTTTTCAACGTTGTTTTGGAATTACCATATAGCTACATTTTAAATAGATTTGTATCATTGCATTTGAAGAACTGTGTCGATCTGCGCGACGTTATATTTTCGTTTATGTAAAAAAATGATTTTTATATGTTGAGCATCAAAACTATCGCCCTGCTATTCTTAATATTTTTTCCGAAACCTCTGAAGGTGGTCCTACATGGTTTAATCAAGATTTCCTATAAATACTTTTGCTAAGAATTCTTTTCATGTCTCCGTTATTGCTTGTTACAATAGGTGTTTTTAAAATAGTTAATTCTCTTTTCCAGATACGTGCGCTCTAACTCCGAGTCAGTGGTAGGCCCTAGCAAACAGCCACCCATAGCTCGACCAACTGGAGGCAGCGGTGGGAGCAGTGGTGGCGGATCCAGTTCCAGCGGGAGCAGCGTGAACGGCAGTTCCGGCAGTTTGAACGGTGGCAGCAATGGCATTCACTGCCCCTTCCAAGTCTCTGGAACTAACCAGTCAACCTCACCGTTCGAATCGAACATTATCAGTAAACGTTTCAGCAGTGCTAACAGTCTGGGACCGTTCACCACCATCGGGGATCTGAATCTCAATGGGATTAACCCCTATGAAAAGTGGTCTAACGGGGGTAAGTTATCTTCTATTTTTTATCTTGTTATTGATTAACATATTCCACCAAAAGGCCGAAGCTGAGCTAAATCGATTTTTTCGCAATATAATTCTCCCCGTATAATATTCTGACCTATAATTGTTCCTTGTTCCAGGTACCACCGATAATATCTTCCAAAATGGCACCTCCGACCCATATGCACTGACCAACACCACCCATAACGATCCCATGCTCGACCTAACCTCCAAATTGATGTCCACAGCCATATTCCCGCCAAAATCGCAGATCAAGAGACAGAAAATGATCTACCACTGCAAATTTGGTGAATTCGGCGTCATGGAGGGACAGTTCACAGAACCAAGCGGTGTTGCTGTCAACGCACAGAACGACATTATCGTCGCTGATACGAACAATCACAGGTAGGGATGAGTATATTATTTGATAATTTTGAGAAAAATGAGGGAAATGGAGGGCTGAAAGATTCAATTCTGAAATGAAAACAACAAAAAATGTGGTGCTCATTGATTAACTGCAATTGAGAAACAGAGCGTCACATCCAGATCTTCTCCTAATAATTCCGAACGCATTGAGGAAAATATTTTTTTATTGTCCAACAGATAAGAATCCTTCCACACAGCAATTCATTTGAAAACTACATATTCACAAGTATTTTGTGGCATGTTCTTACACACATGCTTTATGTCCTTAAGCTCACAAATTGGATATATCAACATCCTGCGATATTTTATTATAAAGAAAACAAATTGATAACAGATTACAGTTTTCGTCCGAGCTCCACATTAATGTGAAAAAGGTTTGAAGAGTACATCCAGTTCCTTGCTCTAGTTGTATAGTAGCAGACAAACGTTTTAAAACATTCTCAGTAATTTTTAAAAAGTGCGCTAATTTTTCATTCTTTATAATTAAGGACTATTTTTTTCTCATATAGTTTGCTTACAGTTTTGAGGATACAAATGACAATTTGTGTTTGCTGTGGTACTACAGACCAGCATTAAAATACCTTCATATTATTTTATGACCAAAAATGAGACGACAAAAGTATGGAAACCTATTTTTTTATTACAAAATTAAATACAATAACTATACAAAAAGATTTAAAAAAATACTATTTAGCTGATATTTGGTGGCATAGCCTTTAGCATTCAACACTGCCTGACATCTGCTGCTCATAGAAGACATCAATTTTTTTACAGATGTCTGTTGGCATAATATAATACGGCAAAACTGAAATGTTTCCATACTTTCGTCGTTACAAAAACTGCGGTATTTAAAAATCGCATGGTTTTATTTTCAGAGAATTTGAATATTGATTAGATAAACCTTGTATTAGTACGTGAACCAAAGGTAGAGTTTAATATTTATATTATCTGTTCGTTCATAATGTTAATTTAGGTATATGAAATAGCTCATAGTAATGTTAATATTTGTTTCCAAACTTTTGTCCGCTACTGTACGTGGTGCTTGTTAAACAGTTGATACTTTAAAATCTTTCTTCGTGTTTTGTCCAGTTTTTCTACATGACACTGTTAGTATAGGTTCACACATAAGTAAAACAAAGTAAAAAATGAACATTTAAAGGCTTCATCACTATCAAACTATCGATAATTCCTTACGATGAATCCATACATTTTGTATGCATCAGCAATTTTGTTTTTAATATGGTTAATGAGATTAATCAAATACTTGTTTAGTAGTTGACTGACACTCCAAAAATATGCCATCAATACTGTTATTTTTTTCCTACAGGAAATAACAACATTGCCTTTTACATTTAACGATAGTTTGTTTTCAAAACACCATATGCGAACGTTGTCGATTATAACTTGAAACGAACTATAGTCCTCAACACTGGTTACTTCACAATAAATGTTTGCCATCTACATAAAACAATCTACGTGATTCATTATTTCATTATCCAAATCGCTTATGAACCAATTATAAAGTAGTGGCCCCAAGTTTGATCCTTGCGGAGCTCTAGAATTTAGGCTATATGTGTTGTAGCCTACATAATGTACGATTTACAACACTAATAATAATAATGATGTGAGAGTTTTACCTATTCGAAAATTTCCATTCCAGAATCCAAATCTTTGACAAGGAAGGTCGGTTCAAGTTCCAGTTCGGTGAATGTGGAAAACGAGATGGACAGTTACTGTATCCCAATAGAGTCGCAGTTGTTCGAACCTCAGGTGACATCATCGTCACGGAGAGATCGCCAACGCACCAAATACAAATATACAATCAGGTGAATATACAACATACTTTTTCTGAAGCATAATCATTAATAATAATGATAATAAACGTCTTTTTCTTTAGGTGAAGTGTAGCTTAACCCATACAAAAATAAATACAATCATGAATAAAATAGAAAAAAGTCACCTAGAAATTGAATTTTTGCTGCCCTGCTACCAACCTGATTACCTCATTTTCAGTCTCGGAGGATGACTGGTTGCCAATAAGTTTAAATGAATTCGTTCGTTCTACCATTGATTAAAATATTCTTCCTGAAGAGTATTTGGTTCTGATACTATTTGACCTCTCTAAAGCCCATTTTAATTGTATATCTTCACGTTAATCGATTATTGGAGGTACCCAATTAAAATAGGGATCAGAGAGGCCTAAAAGCGATTTGAGGTTATAGCGCCATCTATGAGGCAGTAGCAGAACCAAAACTTACTCTTTTCAGAGTAGATTTCTGATTGCATTTTTGTGCTCTGTTGATCAACTTCAGTGCAGCAACGGCTACGTTTATTTGATTAATATTAATGTTAATCTGCCGAATAAAGATTTACATTTTTTTTTTGCAGTATGGCCAGTTCGTGCGCAAATTCGGCGCCAACATCCTGCAGCATCCTCGCGGCGTCACCGTGGACAACAAAGGGCGCATCGTTGTGGTTGAGTGCAAAGTGATGCGGGTGATTATTTTCGACCAGACGGGCGCTGTGTTGCAAAAGTTCGGATGCTCCAAACACCTGGAGTTCCCCAACGGAGTCGTCGTCAACGACAAACAGGAGATATTCATCAGTGACAACCGGGCGCATTGCGTCAAAGTATTCAGCTATGAAGGTTCGTATCCTATTACTGATTCTAATATTCAATTTTTGTACAAGAAAACTTGAATGCAAATAATCTACATTACACCGACGCTCAAGACTGTGTTTTTATACCTGATTTATCTCCAATATTCAAACCAATTTTTCTCCAAAAGGCGTAGTCTGACATAAATTTATCAAGAGAGGTGATTCATGTAAAATTGAATACCTTATTCAGAAATATTACACATGTTCCAAAATCTCATTGGTGTAGAGAATAATATTATTTTTTCTTCTGTGAGGTCAAAATGTCTCGTTTTCTACGCCGCTAATATAGTATCAGATACGAATTTTTGTGTATCGGCTATAATGTCTGTACTACATGTACAACATTTCAAAATATATCATTCCACTCAAAAGATATCCATTCTATATGCAGGGTGTAAAGTTAGTAGTGGATCAACGGAAATCAGGTGATAGAGGGCTTCACACCCTATCGAATGAACCGCTACATGTGTGGTCCAAAATTTTATAGTTCAGGAAATAATTGTTATTTTGTGAAATTTCGAAAAAAAACGGGAAAATGAACTTTCAATCGCAATTACAACTAAACCATTAGGTTTAGGGCTGTGATTTTTTCTGAGATGAGCTAAATGGTTAGTTTTAGTAATGGTGATTCACTTTTTAACAGAGCTTATTAGAAATCAACGCAAAAAATCTTAAATTCATTTTTTGTGTAAAATCTCTTCCATCCCTCAACTGTGGAGGGCTGTAAAAAAATTGAAGTTGTGTTTTATTATTCATTTTATTGTAAAAACTATTTGAATCCTTGTATAATCACGTCACATTCGTTGTTGTGATGCGATAAACATAAGAAACGCAATAGAATCCTTACCACCTACAAGTACAGAACCTATTGTGTTTAGCCGCTCTTTATGGCGATTTACCCACAAATGTGACATTATTTTCTTTACACAAGCGATACCTTCTAATAAAATTTTCCTTTAGTCTTTGAAATGAATTTGCGTTTTCCATAATTTTTATTTTTGCTTCATCAATTTTCTGGCGCAGTTAGTTGACATTTGTATATTCAGATATATAGATTATCCGCTTATAAAACCCCCATATAAACAACTCTAAGAGGATTTAAATCGGCTGACCTTGGAACCCAACGTATGTTCCCGCTACCTATCGAACGCCCAGGAAAGGCACTGTCTAAGTAATGCCGTACATCCCGTGCAAAGTGGCATGGGGCACCATCGCATTGAAAATACATGCAGCTTCGAACGTCCAAGGTACATCCTCTAGCAGCTCATGCAGGCTGCTTTGTATAAAAGCAAGATATGACTGACCATTCAACTTGGCAGACAATTCATATGGTCCAATTAATTTTTTGTTGAGTACTCCAGCCATTTCTGCACCTGGAATGCCGTGTTGAATGCCCAAGCTCATTGAGCTGATTTGGCTATTTGCGCTATTTTGATTTTACAAAATGTTAATACACACAGTATCACTCGTACTGCTAGGACGAATCTAACAGTACCTCATATGTCAAAATCCATCAAGTCGTTTGGACTGTAGCTCGTAAATAGAATTTCTTGTTTACATGTATAGATAGATACCCACCTGCGTCAAACATACAGATTTTTTAAGGTGAGGCACTTATCGTACCAAGCTGAAAGTTTCAGGGTTTATTCTTCATGGGTTGAAATAGTTTTTACAATAAAATAAATAATGAAATCCAACCTCAATTTTTTTGCCGCCCTTCAAAGTTGAGGGATGGAAGAGATTTTTCACTTAAAAATGAATTTATGATTTTTTGCGTTGATTTATAATAAGCTCTGTTAAAAAGTGACATAACCATTGCTAAAACTAACCATAATGGCTTAGTTGTAATTGCGATTGGAAGTTCATTATCCCGTTTTTCTCGAAATTTCACAAAATTGCAAATATATCCTGAACTATAAAATTTCGGACCACACATATAGGGGTTCATTCGATAGGTTTTTAGGCCCTCTTTAACCTGACTTTCATTGATCCACTGCTAACTTTACATCCTGTATATATAAAGAGCAGTTTTAGAGCCAGTAGTCCTATGAACTTTTGATGCAATTTTTTGATCTGATCTATTTAGTCTCATGAATATTGCCACGTTTTTCTGAAAGACCATGTTAAGTATGTACCGAGGCAATCTGCTTGACTCCCATTTCTTTGTTCCAGGCGTGTACCTCCGTCAAATAGGCGGCGAAGGAATCACAAACTACCCGATCGGTGTCGGAATCAATGCCAACGGCGAGATCCTGATCGCAGACAACCACAACAACTTCAACCTGACCATCTTCACCCAGGACGGTCAACTGGTCTCAGCACTGGAAAGCAAAGTGAAGCACGCGCAGTGCTTCGACGTCGCGCTCATGGACGACGGCAGCGTGGTGCTGGCCAGCAAGGACTACCGTCTCTACATCTACCGCTATGTCCAGGTGCCCCCTATCGGTCTATAGACGAATCTCCAGCGGGCACGCTCGTCTGCCATTCCCAACACTTTTTGTTGACGCATTTCTGAATGGAGTGGTCAGATGCTGGGCTGTTGATCCGCATCGTCGGTTCTAGTTCACTCCGGAATCGAAATTCCTAGCTAGTAGCGGGAAAGAAGCCTGACCTTGGACTAACAGGGATGCTGGACTCTGATGGTTTCTCTTTTTCTTCCTCATTTGCATGTAGCTACCACAAGGTAATTTAAAATCTTATCGGGCGCCATCTATCGGGTAGATTTCACCACGACACTGCTGCTACGAATCTCCCCAAGAGATGACATGCCGTAGGATGGTTTCAAATGTTTGCTTCCAAGGATTTAAGGAGCATACGAATATAAATATTTTTGATATGTTGCAGTATAACAAAACATTTTATAGTTATGGTTCAATTAGTTTTTTTCAATTTTTCACCAAGTCATATTTTGATTGGGTGAGAAACAAATGACATTTTTGTATATTTGTAATTTTTTAATTCAGTTTGAAATCAACTAATTTACATTTAACTTAAACTATAAGATGAGTTATTATTATTCAACACTAATGCCTGTTTGAAGGATGCATATTTCGCGCATCAGAAACCCGCTTGCTTGCGTCGCAGCATATTTTTCGTGCAGCTTTTGTCGAATATGGAAGAATGAATGAAACCTGGAGGAGTTTTTTATACTCGCTCGGTTCAAGGTCATGCCTTTAGTTAATCGAACATCAAAAACTTCGTCCTTTGAGACAAACTCTCACTACGACATTCCATTGTGAAGTATCGCTCAATGGCTCGCTTATTGAAATTAATTTTTTACGGTAGTAGTTTAAAAATGTAGTGCCTTGGGGTTTAGCTTGATGACATTTTCAAGGTTACGTTGAGACTGGTTTTGTTTCGAATCGCTCTACGATTCGATTTGACGTGATTCTAGCTTATTATTATTCTTCGCCTTCGGTAGATAATTTATCTGAATGTTGTATATTTTTAGTATTTCTTGACAATGCGGTTACAGTAGATGTAAGTATAATCCTGAGCAATTTTATTATTGATATGTACGAACTAAGGTGATTGAGCCAATCGGTATGTAGTGTTGGGTAGGATAATATCTGGGCAGTGATACTTTTTCAGAATTTTTTCTATTGTAATGTCTCTTAAAACCTGGTGCAGCATGCTCGGTTTATGAAGTAATTTAATGAATTTTTGTAATTGTTCAACATATAAGGAAGACAAGTTGAGTGTATTGTGGGGCGTCTCACAATGCTGTTGCTTTTACTTAGTAATTTATCTTCAATTGTAACATTTCTCTATTTGACAAACTGTCAAGACATCGCTTCAGAAGAAAATATCACATGCCAGATGTTTGCTTCCGATATGACGGTCGACTTGTTGGTTGCTTAATCTTGAGCGATATTTTACAAACCTTTTGCATGTCTCATAGGACGAAGTTCCTGACGCGTAGTGAACGATGGACAGATTGGATTTCGATTTGGTGAGTAGACATTGGTAGGACGATGTATTATTTTTTTAAAGTTGTCAAAATTGTAACGATACTTATCGTCATAGTTTTGTACGTGTTTCACATGTTGATATTTTTAATATTTAAACGTTTGACGATGCGCAAGCTGGACATCATCGCTTCATCGGCGCGCTGTTGCCCAATTTATCCAGGAAATAAAGGCCTAAGAATCTTCCGAGATTGACAGCAACTTGTTGACGTATCATAATGTCATTGTCAACAAAGGTTTGCATACCGAAACGTGCTTGTTTCCTGGAGTAAATGTTGAATGACCAAATTTATCAATTTTTAAAAACAGGGATATTATTATTATTCAGATTAGAAATGTTAACCACGCACCTAGGTTGGTGCCTGGGCCATTGTTGTATTTAAATTGAGCAGTTTCCGATATCTATTTTAATATGACGCGTGTATGATGTTGTGTATGTTCTTAGAGATAGCGCCTTGTTGTTTGCGGACAGCCGCGTTGTTACGGACCCTAGTCAACCACGAACTGTACTTTGTATTAGCTATTTTTATTATTGTTCTATCGTATATCCCTTGACTGTGGATGTTTATTGATATGATACTACGATTATTACAACACTCTCAGACCAGTCAGTGGAAACTTACAGTGTTTCCCCAAAGCCTAGACATCTAAAATTTGACAGTTGTAGAAACATAGTTCGCTACCTTGATCTCTTACGTGGTACTTCTTTTCCCAAAATGCGTTTCAAATTTTCTAAACCAACATTGTTCGGCATCTTTGACAAAGATCAAAGAAAATACGTTCGTTACCCATAATAAAGTTGTTTTATGATGTATACACTTATTGTCATCGTATCGTACAACCACGCTGTCGAGGTGAATCATAAATCATTCTATGAACATTACTTACACTTTCATCCTTGGGCTAGGAATACGGAAATGAATGAAAATGCAATCGATAAAATCTAACGGGAAATAATCGCGAAGAATTACTATCTAGTGTCTGTATTTGTTTAATGAAATTGTCGTAGTTTTAAAAAACAAGACGCGAGAATGGAGCATTTTCATTTAGAAAATATTGTGATGGATGTGCGCATTATGATATATATTTTCTATACTTGAGAGATATCGAAAATATGGAAGCTACTATCAGGAGTATAACTACATTAAGGGGTAGTGATCAGTAACCACCTTACAGGTTTATCTTAGTTTTCACGGAAAATCTGCTCATCAATCCATAAAAACGTAAAATTTTTAGCTTTTACTAAACCAACGTATCAGTATGGTCTGAAAAACTACTAAAACCAAGTGGAGAGAATGGCAAAAAACAAAATATCATCTACGCTTGCATCTTCACGGTTGTGGTAAAGTTGATGTCTCAACTCTTAGATATTGAGAAGCATTGGCAAGTTAAATGCTTGAAATCTATAATCGTCAAATTTCAGATGCCTGGACCTTTGACATATAAGCACAGTCCACTGCTTGGCCTAACTTAATTATATATTATAACGATGTATCGACTACGTGCCGTGCCGATTTTGAATTGTACCGCCGCTCGGGCTAAACTACCGTTCGGCAATTGTTTATTACGTTTAAATTTAGTTCTGTTACGATTATTTGTATTATTATCGTCATTATTCACACAGACCTTTTTCTATTAGTAAAATGCAAGTGTGGTGCATGCAATATCCCCTTCACCATCTTTTATAATTTTTTATTAGTTGTAGTAGTTTTTTGTAGTAATATATTTGTTTGTTGATGCTGCCAAGTTTAAGATAGCGGACGCGAGTGCCAAGCATGCGCACTCTTGTTCTGGGCGTTCTTTCCCGACTGGCGTTAAAGTCTTAACAGCTACAGTGTTTTCGTTTGCTTCGGGCATTAATAAGTAATCAGAAGCATTGTTGCTGTGTAAGATATGGACGCAAGTTTTTTCGCCATTCAAGACTATAAACGTAGCTAGGTTTTCGTTTCATTGTTTTGTGCCTTCGAGAGCAAATCACGGTGCCACGTTTAGTTTATACGATTTAGAAACACACCTTATCACCTTTAGTATTACTATGACATACCTGCGTACGTGGAAGCGTATTATTTTTATCAAAACGCTTATCCATTCCACCACTTTTTGTTAGTACTGTTTTGTTTTTATTTTAATGTTTAAGATGAAATCGGACAAGCGACGGAGGGTTGGTGCCTAAAATAATTTATATACGAGTATTTAGTATATTTTTGTTGAAAGACGTGAAAATTTCTATTGGTACATACATATGTACGTCGTGAAAGATTATAAACAATTGTAATTACGAAGTTGTCTGACTGAGCTGTAAGTTGCAGCACGAGTGGAAGATTAAAACCTGTGCACGAAGCAAGAGGGCGTCCGTGAAAAGATTAAAGCATCTCAGTATTCCATAACGTTTTTTCTGAGTGACGCCTGGAGTGATTCTCTGACGTTTGTTCGTTCATCTGCCTATTATACGACATTGCATATATTTTTATAGTATAGTTGACGAGTTATGTTTTATTTTTTAACTATTTTATTTTACTTATACCCTGATTAGTTCTCGACGGTGTTTTTACAGTAATTTATATCCTATTATTTATATTCATACTTGTTGTTTTTGAGATCCGGAGGCGACGAACGAACGCATTTTTGTCTGAGGACTGAGCGATCTCAATCCTAAATACCAGTCCTCGGAGAGCTCCCTGTGGCACTCCGGCTTGTATCCTGTTGCTCTCTTGATACCCATCTGATCACGTCGATTATGTTGTTTTCGGTGACTTGTTCAAAGCACACTATATTTTTTCTTATATACGTCGGAATAGCCTTGGATGGGTATCTTGACATATGACAGTTGACTTTGCCGTTTAGTGCTACACGGCACTCATTTTTTACTACATTTTTTAAACTTGTTGTTATTATATATTAATTTAATGGTAAAATTGTTCTTTAAATTAAATGTACATTGTTTTGTTTTTCTTTGATTTTTTGTTGTAAATGCTTTTTTTAATTAATAATACCAGTTCTTTGCAGTTTTCAACTAGTTTTTTTTATTTTCATCTACAAAATAGCCGACGGAAAATTGACAGACATGTCACTCATTTTAGCTTTTTCATCATTGAAAACATGGGCAAGTTGAAAATGTTTATGAAAATGATCATCCCGAAAAATGGTTTCATTGAACAGATTTTTTTCTTATAAATTGTAATATTATTTCGCTGCGAAAAACGAGATTTCATTTCATTCCTTAATTTTATTATGAAAGTTTCGAAGACTTGTTATCTGTGAAGTTTATGACGTGTTTATAATGTCAAAATATTCTATTTGGAATTCTAATATAACATTTCATTTCCATAATGAGTACATAACTTGGGCTTACTTAGCCTTCAAAGAAACTTTAGAAAGAAATTAAATAGAGAGATTTATTTCTTTTCTAAAGACCATACTCATTTGTTTGCATCTCATTCACCTGTCTCCAAGACTATATTGCACTTGCTAAACAGCGTGAATAGCGCTGTCTACGGTTGGTAATATATTCAGTTCAGGAATTTTATTGCCCTGAAGTTGCATCCAAGCATTTATGTTTGTGTCATTTAAAACATTAACAGTATGTCCATGTCTTCATCACATAAGCTCAAATGTTTGTTATGTCTAGAAGAAACGCTACGCGAAAAGCTATAATTGGTAAAATTCCAAACCCCACAAATTACAATTAATTTGCTTTTGGCATATCGTTTAGCAAGATACACTGTCAGACAACAGATGCATTTATCTGCTACTTCTCCAAACACCTCTATGGTTTTTGATATAGTTTTGTTGTTTCAGGCTTCAATCAACTATACCCTGATTCAATATTATATTGTATATTGAACAATATAATAAGTTTTTTGCCGTTAATATCAATGACTCAAAACAATATATTTTCTAGCGATATCCTTTTTCAAGGAATACGTTAGAGTATGAAATCCAATGTTTAGTTTATTCTAAGTAAAATAAACATTATTGAGCTAGACGTAACTTTGGAAATCGGTAGATAGATCATTGATCTTGCCGACAGTGTATAATTTCTGTCGGTCATTTTGCCACTGTGACTTGCCTCCCCTCTCACAACTCAACTTCCCCCTACCCCCGAGTGATGTATTAGAGTGAGCACGGCACGACTGCTGGACAGCCCCTTCTCTTCTCTTTGTCTCTTTAATATTGTACTTTTGTACTGTTAGAAACGTAAGTGTGATGATATTATTCCATCGGAAAAAGCTTGTGTAATTTTAATGAACTTTTTTGAACAATCTTCCTTGGGCCCAAATAAGCAAATCCTATATATCTAGTATAGGCATGTGTGATTTTTTTTTCGTATCATAGTCATTAGTGGTAGTAGTGTAGTAGTATTTTGAGAGAAACTAATTAGGCAGTTCTCAGTGTGATGTTTGAGTTTAAAGCGTAAAAGCATTTTTCGGTAAGACTGAATTAAACAACACATCTTTTCTGGTAACGAACTTCTTAGTAATAAAATCAATTGCACAGTCCGTCGAGATTGAGATCAAGAAATCTGTTTTTATATTTTTTTTTTCAAAAAATGCAAAACAAAAAAAGCAACACATTCCAATTAGTATTATGAACTAAGTCTACGCTGTGGTCTGTCGAACAGGAATACGTGCTGTTAGCTTTCCAAATATCTCGAGGAAAACTATTTTATATGCTGTAGATGAAGATAACCGGATTCCGAGTAAATGGTGAGTATAAGAACAATCGACATCAATATATATCATAAACTTCATGTTCCTATTCGTCTATCCAAATATACTCCTTGTTTGGACCTAACCAGCTATTAAGAAACTGTGTTTAGGGATAAGTGCTGTTATAGAGAAGCATCTATACCAGCTTTAGTTGACCTATTCCTTAAGGCACGATTCATCAATGACCAACCTGTCACTAAGTAGCCATGCGAATATTTTGAAAACTTGGCAAATGAAACGTCCTGATATCAGTCAATTTTTTAGTACGTTTTACCTAAATTCCCTCAATGATTGTGAAAGTAATTTAGTGAATTTACAGCCACATTTTGACATATGTATTTGCCTAATTGAGCGTATAAGAGAAATGATTAGAATCAACCTGTTAAATATTGATTTCAATTCGTAACTAAATTTTCCACTTTGATATACATTCTACGTATTCGTTAGCAGCTATCTGCTTTATGAGCATATATTTATGATTTGGTTCAATTATATACATTAAATTCGATATCAAGATGTGCACTTAATACTATACAGGTGATGAGAAAAGGTAATCCGACTCGCATACTTGATGGTATATAACATTTATGGCGCATTTAAAACGGTGGAAAAGACGTCATATTCGCCTCGCGACCTGGAATTAGAACATATTTTCATTATCTCCTAAAAGGTGATGCTTATAATATGAAGTGGATTGCTCATCGGAAGTTGCTGTTCTGATATATAGTTGGGTTGTCATTCCAGTATATCATCTCTCGAGCGTTAATCAGTGCCAGCTTGAAGAAGTTATATTTTTCGAGATAATGTTTGTAGCATTACTATATACCGACACCGACTCTTTTGATCGAAGTCTACCATTACCGTGAGTGTTCCAAAAATATTTTTTCGAGAATCACGAAATATATTTTTCACGTGATGTTATGGATCGCTAATATGCATCTATCTGTGTAAGACCACAGCTTGCTGTGTGACAGTAGTAGATAGAAAATTAGTGGGGGCAATGAACGCACAAAACTCGAATGTTGATTCTTGGTCACAATTTTTTGGGATCTGTCACTTGGGTATGTTACGTTTACCTTCATGTCAATTAATCTAGGGAACATAACTATTTGAATCAGGTGGAGCCTGTAAATAAAAACTAATTTTCTGTCTGTTAACCAAAGCACACTTTCACTGCACACCTTCCCCCTCCAAGGTCGATCAGATTAGATGGTTTTTGCTGTTGGAAGAACCATTTTAGTTGGAAGACCGTTTTATCTTTACTGATGATATCAGAAGACTGTATCTACAGGATGACACATGTGAAGTCTTTACTCACTCGAATTCACAAAGGATCAAAAAGTGTCGTATAAAGCAAAACAAAAAACCATATTTGTTAGATTGATGAAGAAAATTCTGTTCTATTAAGAATGTTATACTTGTCGAATTGTATATAAGATACAGAACTTTCGAGTGTAAAAACTTGAATTTGATCACAAAACAATGTGCTTTTTGCTGGCTATTCGCAGACCATCTGTCTTTTGCATTTGCACAATGTGTCTTGTTTATTAATATTTGCAAGTCCAATTTTGAAGTTTTCCTACCTGTGTATAATCCACTCGGTTTTTATTACATTGAAATGCAGTAACCGTATACGTTCTTCTGATACATCAAATTGCCCGTTTGAAAAGTGGTCAGCGCAAGTATTTAATCTAGTCCCTTAGCTCTAAACGGAGCATAAATGCATCCACAAAGTTTAAGCTGTGTCTTTATTAGACTAGTCGAGAGAACGGACCTAGTCTCATCGGATAAACCAATGTAAATATTAGCAGAATCGCTCTTCAACTTTAAGTTTATAGATCAGTCATAGTAGCATAAGGCAACGTGTATTTTTATGTTACAAACAATTCCTAGCTCAATCAATCATCTAAAGATGGATGAGTATAGAAAGATCAGAAACAGCGGTGACTTATGCATCGTATCATTCACATGTACGAATTTGTCATCTACAAACTTTGCAGAATTGAGCTATAACTTGCCAAAGTCAGATGCTTAACTGACTGATCTATAATCACTTCTCAACGGTGACTCTTGAGATTTGGTCAGTATCTCGAACCGTTTTTGTTTTCAAACGCTTTTTTATCCACTCGTTTATTTAGTTTATTGCATGATCTTTTTTTTAAAGGTACATTATTGCTCATATTCGTAGTATCGTTGTTGTGCACTGAGTTATGTATGCGCTATGCGCCACATTGTCCACTCCGAAAAAAAAACAGATTTTGCGCTCGTACAGCACCTCTTTAACAGACTGTGATGATCGGAAATGCCTTCCCACACCCCGACGTTATCACTTTGCACCGATGGTGGAAATACAATTCTTGGAAGAAGCTATATAACTCGACCCTAAGTTTTTTGCTGTCTGATTAAGTACATCGCAAAACCAGAAACCAAGCTGACTCAAATGAAACACTATATAAATACATTTACTTTAAATCATTCATTCCTTGTTGGATGTAATTTCAAAGTCAAGATTTGCAAGAATGCACAAAAACAAACCTAAATTAGTCTCGTAAAAATAATGATATTTTTTTCCAGATAAGCTTCTTAAGTGGTCGAATTCCAGTGCTGGAAATCGTTATTTTTCTGCAGCTCCAGCTGTTTTTATCATATCAGCATGGAAACAGAAATTTTGGAAAAATAAGTAGGCAAACTGTGTGTTATAACTATCTCTAAATGGCCTAATCAGCTATTTCTACATATGACCATTCTTAGACTAAAATTTTAAGCAGCCTTTTGGAACAATCACTACTTAATTTCGTCAGTAACTTGAGAAATATTTTGCTTCAGCTCATTAATGCTGTGCGAATTATTTGAATATGCATTATCCCTCAGGATTTCCCACAAAAATGACATATGGGGACATATGGGGCTAGAATGTATAATCTTACTAGCCGCCGGACATCATCGTTACACAGCTATTAGAAAAACATGTCTGTGGCAGTTTCAAAGGTATAACTTACTCTTGTTGACAGAAGATATTAAGAGGCTTATTATCGAGTTGTGTCCACAAAAGTCCATGTTTGTGGTAACGTTTGCCATGAATATTTACCATTGTATCATATCAATTTTCATGACAAAAACTCCCACGCGTTCTTCCACCGTAAAACGATCTATAATCCTTCTCGGATCTATATGGCACATGCAGTGCCTGTGAAACCCTATATTATAAAAGGATGTATAATAAGTCGTTAAAAAGAGGCGCGAAAGTCCCGAAGTACTTACTGCTACACCCTTCAAGTTGTTTTTTGGCGTATTCATCACGGAC